GGGGTCACCACAACATGAGGAACTGTATTAAAGGGTCGCAGCATTAGGAAGGTTGAGAACCACTGGCCTAGAGGATGGCTACCCTGAAGCGTTGTTCCAGACTTTGTGTTAGTGAGAAACTTGTGCTTGGGTTAAGCCACTGAGATTTGGGGGCTGTTGTTACCGCAGCATGGTCTAGCCTAGTCTGACTAACACTGACACTTTGCTAGGTTACGTATGAAAACAAAAGCTTGAAAACCTGTGGTGGTTTTAAGTAGCTTTAAGCAGAATTCCCCCAGGTGCCAAGCACCCCTGGATAAAGGCGGCCTCCAGGATGGGCAAAGTGTCTAACCCAGTGACCCTGTCATGCCCACGACAACGGTCCTCCTGGGACTAACATGAGAGCAGTCACACAAAAGAGATGGAGCAGTGGCAGGCTGTTGGTGGGGAACAGAGCTTAAGGGGCATGTGCCCGAGGGGATGGTACCTTTATGAGATCACGGTCTGGCCCTCAGATGCGCTGGGCTGGAATCTCCATCGTAACAGTGTTCTGTAAGTACATAAAGGTGGAGAGGCCGACTCAGGCTCACTTCAGTGTAAGGGAAGGATAATGGTTAATGTTTACTGAGCACCGGCTATGTAGCCGGCATGTGCTAGTTTCACTCATTCACTCAGTAATTATTCACTGAACCCCTAATGCAGTGATGGCGAACCTTTTGAGCTCGGCGTGTCAGCATTTTGAAAGACCCTAACTTAACTCTGGTGCTGTGTCACATATAGAAATGTTTTGATATTTGCAACCATAGTAAAACAAAGACTTATATTTTTGATATTTATTTTATATATTTAAATGCCATTTAACAAAGAAAAATCAACCAAAAAAATGAGTTCGCGTGTCACCTCTGACACGTATGTCATAGGTTCGCCATCACTGCCCTAATGTGTGCCAATCCCTGGGGATACAGCAGCAATGGAAACACAGCTCTGCACCTGACAAAGCTCACCTTCTGGGGTGGGGAGGGACCAGATAAACAAATGAGCAAGTAACTATTTAATACAGGTGGGGGACATCCGGCCAGCCGGCTGTATAAGGTCTGGCCCTTCCAAGGGATCCGGGGTGAGTTGATTAAATGTTGGGCCAAATCTAGCAGGCTAATTTTTTTTTTAAGTTTTTAAAAATATATTTTATTCATTTTTTTACAGAGAGGAAAGGGAGAGGGATAGAGAGGTAGAAACATTATCAGCTGCCTCCTGCACGCCCCCTACTGGGGATGTGCCCGAAACCAAGGCACATGCCCTTGACCAGAATCGAACCTGAGACCCTTCAGTCCGCAGGCCGACGCTCTATCCACTGAGCCAAACTGGTCAGGGCGAAATGTTCTTTTTTGATATAGCCTTAAGTATCTAGATTAACTGACATCACATTTGAGATATGCTTTCAACAAAATAAAAGAGGGAGAGAAAAAAAAGTATGACAACATACTGATGGTTACTAAAGCTGGATTACGGGTATATGGAGGTTTATGACAGATTTGCTCTATTTCAGCAGGCACTTAGAACTATTACAAAGGGTATACATATGTCTCCTTTTCTCCCCCACCCTTGACAATCCCCTGGCCTCCCCTACCCCCCAGTGTCTTATGTCCATTGGTTATGCTTATATGCAAGGGCCAGGCTAATTCTTAAGTTGATAATTTTATATGGCCCACGAATGATGTTACAAATATTCAAATGGCCCTTAGCAGGATAAAGGTCCCCCACCCCCGTCAGATGGACACAGGGCCATGGTAAACGCTCAATAACTATGGATGGGAGAAAGAAGGAACTCTCAGAGTGCTGACGTCACCTGCCCAAGGTCACATGGCTACTTCAGGGCTGAAACCCAAGGCCCCAACCCTCAGGCGCTAGTCGTTATCACTCATTCCTTTATTTTATTTATTCGACAAATATTTACGCAACATCTGCTATGTGTTAAATATGATGTGTGTCCCTCCTGAAAGGTTCTGAGACATGGCACAGCTAAAGGCTAGACTCCACCTTAGCGGAGGAGGGACAGTTGTTTTGGGCCCCTGACTCGCCTCAGCCCCGCCCTAAGCAGAAACCAGGGGTGACGTAGTGCCAAAGGGGGGGGGGCGTCTGTCAACCTCTCATTAGCTCCACCCTTCTCCGTTGTAGCCACGCCCACCACGAAGAGCCGACAGTAGGTTGTGACCAAATATCCCCGCCAACGAAAACTTCTCTCATCCCCAGACCCGCTCCCGGGCCGTCCCCCCTCCCGCCTCTCACAAAGGGTCTTGCTGACGTCACAGGTACCACGACCGAACTGTGTACAGCGCGTCAGGAGACTTTCTCCCCTGCTAAGCCTCTCCTTCCTCTCACTTCTGGACGTGGTGTGCCGAGTGGAGACCCAATACCTGACTCACTTCAGGGACCGGGACTCACCTTTTCAGTGGCCCCCCGAAAACTTCCGCCGGGGAGGAAGGCGCTGCGCGCGCATTCTCCGCCCTGAGGCAGGCCTGCGCCCGCGCAGGCGCTGCTTGCCCCGCGAACTGCCCGCGGCCTGTGCGCCTACCTCGGAACTACATTTCCCACAGGCCTTCGCGGCAGGCCGGCCCTCTGACTCGAAGGCTGGGGGTGGAATTATTCGCTGATGGCCCACCTCTTTGGAACGCTGCCTGGTTCTACTGCGCATGTGCCCCACTACAAGGCGCGCTTCCGCCAATCAGCAGACGTCACTTTATTTCTCCCGCCTCAACCCTCGCCTCTGGCGCGAGACTTCTCCGGAATCCAATTTTCTCAACGTGTTTCTATGGCAACCGTCGGGTCGTCGCCTTGAAGAAAATCAAAAGCCTCCCCTTCTTCTAGAAAAGCAGAAGGCTGATTAGATTGTTCTTCAACAGAATAAAAGCTGGGCTATTAAATCCAGTCACCGCCGGATTTCGATAGCGGGAACCTCTTACCGACCGGTAAGCGGGCGGAGACGGGCCGACGAGCACGGCCCTCTGGGAAACGCGGTCTCGCGCTGGCGCGGAGGGTCCCGCGTGGAGAAATCCCGAGATTCGCGCGGCACCGGAAGTGGCTCTGAGGGGGCTGGTGTGAGGGGATTCGGGTCTCCGGCTCCACCCGGGCCGGACGCGCGTCTGTTAACTCGGCGGACCGCCACCTCGAGGTGAGGAGATGCCGGGCTGGGGTCGCTGAGGACTCGGGGGGACGGGGGGCCGTCTTCCCTGAGGGGGATGGGATGCCCCTGTGGCGTCTAAGGCAAACGGCGCGTCGCCTCGGGCGGTGGGTGAAGGTAGAGGCTTACGGGCCCGGCTCTCGTTCTAGTGGTTTCCAGCCCTCGTCGGCAGCCGCGAGGGGAGCGATGCCGTTTCATTTTCTTTTGGGGAGTGAGGACACTGAACCAGGAGGGGGTGTCGTTGGCAGAATTGCGCAGGATCTTGAGGTGACTGAGTGGGCGTTTTTCAGGGGTGGTGGGGGCGAAAGGGTTGAACGCTGGCGTGAGCGCGGTCTGTGTGCCACGCGCCGTGCCGTCCTCGCCTTTTCTCCGGTAACCTCCGCGGTCTTATCGAATAACCTGGGCATCATCTGAGAAATCAGACTTTACAGAGCGAACAGGGTGCATATTTCATAATTAGACAGCCCCCCGCCCTCAGCGGGATCTAGGGCAATTCGTGGAAATCAAATATTCCTGTCAGGAAAGGCGTGAATAATCACACTGAAAGGAAGGAAGACGGTACATAGCCCGTGGCAATTTGGGTTTAAGTTTTGCTGCGAATTTATAAAGTTCTGGTTTTTAGAGCTTTTTGGTTTTTAGAATTAGAGAGAAGGGACCCTGGATCCGTTGTGTCTGTCTCATTTTGTACATGTGGGAACTGAGGTGCAGAGAGGGTGGGTGATCTGGCCGTCGTCCCACACTAAGGCGAAGCGAGGCTCTAGGGCAAGCGTGTCAAACTCGAAGGCTAACACGGGCCAAATAAACACGGTGGAAGTGTCTGTGGGCCGCAAAAAAAAAACACAAAAGCTTCAGTTTTCATAGAAACTCAGGTTTATTTCGATAGCGACGTGCTGAATGCAAAGGGCTGAAATAAATGAGTCATCATTAACATAAAATAATAGAACACTTTAATAAAAGTTAATATTTTTCTTGAACATGTGCTTACCAGACACTGAATAACTGCGGAGATTAATAAGCGTCATGCAAATAAACCTATTTCTCTGTTCTCCGAAAGCGAAATATTTCCTGTTGCGCACAGCAAACAAGTCAGTACAAGACGAATGACGTGGCAAAAGCCTGCTAAAATATTCGCTGCTAGTGCCCTAGCTGGTTTGGCTCAGTGGATAGAGTGTCCGCCTATGGACTGAAGGGTCCCAGGTTCGACTCCAGCCAAGGGCACATGCCCCAGTAGAGGGCATGCAGGAGGCAGCCGATCAATGATTCCCTCTCATCATTGATGTTTCTATCTCTCCCTCTCCCTTCCTATCTGAAATCAATAAACATCTATTTGAAATATTCACTGCTGGTATTAGTGTAGGGAAATGGTGCGCCTGCGAGTAAGGGAAATGAATGCAACATGATTATAGTCATCAGTCATTAGCGAACGTTGTAGTTCGTTATTAATAATTACATGTAACAGGATATTGTAAAAATGAAGTTAGGAAATTTTTATTAAAACGTTTCTTACATACTGTTATATTGGCTGGGCCACAAAAATATTCGTTTTGGGCCACATGTGGCCCGTGGGTGGTGAGTTTGACATGCTTGCTCTAGGGCCCAAGGTTTGGTTCAAGTCACTCCCACAGGCTGGGTGACCTTGAGTGGCTCCCCTTCCTCCCCAGGGCTGAGGGTATAGGACAGTGATGGCGAACCTTTTGAGCTGGGCGTGTCAGCATTTTGAAAAACCCTAACTTAACTCTGGTGCCGTGTCACATATAGAAATTTTTTTATATTTGCACCCATAGTAAAACAAAGATTTATATTTTTGATATTTATTTTATATATTTAAATGCCATTTAACAAAGAAAAATCAACCAAAAAAATGAGTTTGCATGTCACCTCTGACACGCGTGTCATAGGTTCGCCATCACTGGTGTAGGAGTTGTGGACAGATCGTGAGCTGGAAACTAGACAGAGGTCTCAAGCCTCAGGTAAAGGAGAGAACCTGCCTGGTCAGGGCTAAGGGACATCAGGGAGTCTATGCCCCAGTTAAGGGGGAGTAGATTTAAATGAGCTCCAACTAGCTAGCTTGGTGGGATGCTGACTCAGCAAGGCCAAGTCCTAGAATTTTTTTTCAGAAGCTGGAGATCTAGAAATATTGAAGTGTTCAATAACAAAATGCTGCTGGTCTTACACTGCACTGGGATTTTCATGAAATATATTGTGTAAATGTACGTCACCTTTTTAAAATCTGAAAATTTCTGAATTTCAAAGCACATGAGGCCCTAGAGCAGTGATGGCAAACCTATGACACGCGTGTCAGAGGTGACACTCGAACTCATTTTTTTGGTTGATTTTTCTTTGTTAAATGGCATTTAAATATATAAAATATCAAAAATATAAATGTTTTACTATGGTTGCAAATATCAAAAAATTTCTATATGTGACACGGCACCAGAGTTAAGTTAGGGTTTTTCAAAATGCTGACACGCCGAGCTCAAAAGGTTCACCGTCACTGCCCTAGAGGCTCTAGAATTGTGGGCCTGGGTCATTGAGTCATCCTGCTTTGCAATATGGAGTGTTTTCAACACTCCATAGATACACGCTCCTTAGGAAATTCAATGTCTATAAACGTGTAAAAAGCCCTCTGGTACAGTGTTTCCCATATTGTGGGTCATAAAAATAACTCACTGGGCAATGATCATAATATTTTTTAATGAAGTGAAAATCAACTATGTAAGATTAAGTATTATCTCATGAAACTTTTGTTATGTGTGAATGAGCAGTCATGATATCCTATATAATAAAGAGGTAATATGCAAATTGAACATCACTCTAACACATGTGGACACAATATGGCCTGCTGGGAAGGGCAGTTGGGAGGGACCAGGCCTGCAAGGGAGGGTAGTTAGGGGTGACCAGGCCAGCAGGGGAGGGCAGTTGAGGGGGACCCAGGCCTATAGGGGAGGGCAGTTAGGGGCAATCTGGCTGGCAGGGGAGCAGTTAGGTGTCGATCAGGCTGGCAGGGGAGTGGTTAGGGGGTGATCAGGCTGGCAGGCAGAAGCGGTTAGGGCAATCAGGCAGGCAAGTGGTGGGAGCCAGCAGTCCTCAATTGTGAGAGGGATGTCCTACTGCCCGTTTTCAGACATCCCTCAAGGGGTCCCAGATTGGAGAGGGTGCAGGCTGGGCTGAGGGATACACACACCACCACCACCCCGTACACGAATGTTGTGCACCGGGTCTCTAGTATATGTATGTATATATATATATAGTCTTTGTTTTTGTGGGTTGTGGTTAAAAAAGGAAGTCGAAGAACTCTTGCTGCTATAGAAATAGCAACAGTTTGGAGACCAACACAGTTGGACTCAAATCCTAGAGATGACATAGTATAACCCAAAATCTCAGAAGCATTGTCCCAAGGGTTCAGTTAGAGACACATGTACTCTGTGAACAGATGTCCTGTGCTGGGCTAGGACACAGCATTGCCCAAGACAGCAGGTGCGAAATGTGTATCATCAATTGTGATTAATGCGAAGAATGGCTGTGAAGTTGCTTTGTAGATTTTGAAGCATAGTGAAGCTTGGGGCTGGGGTAGTTTCAATAAATAACAATTGTTGTGATTCCTGCAGGGAGACTCATGTTCTGACTCATCCTACTTCTGGACATTTTGGGGACTCATCCAGCATGGCCAGGAAGTCAGTCCTAGAAGGAAGGAAGACTGTCTCCCCGTTTCCTTATCCTTCCTGCGGCCCTGCCAGCTGGGAACATGGAGGGGAAGAAGGGGGAGCTTAAACTAGGACTCGGGCTGCTGGGCCTAGTCGGCTATTACTGAGGTGAGTCGAGAGTCCTGTCATCCCAACAGATCATCCCCAAAGGCTGCACAGGGGGCCTGTCTTTGTTCCAGGCTCACTGTCCTGTGGTGGCCCCAAGCGATCTTAAAGTAAAGCTCTCATGTTCTTTCTGTCCTGCTTAGTACCCTTCCAGGAATCCTTATTGCTAACGGGATAAAATCCAGGTTTCTCAGCGTATTCCTGCATGGTCTGGGTCCTGCCCCCATCCACGGTCTCTTCTCTCCTCTTTACTCACACATGGGACACTCCCTTCTTGGACCTGTAGTAAAATGTTACACTACGCTTCCCAGCTCCCAGTCTAGTTTCCAACTCAGGATCTGTCCACATCTCATACGCCCTCAGCCCTGGGAAGGAAGGGGAACCACTCAAGGTCACCCAGCCTGTGGGAGTGACTTGAGTCAAACAAGTGACTTGAACCAAACCTTGGGCCCTAGAGCAAGCAAACTTGCAGCCCGCAACGAATATCTTTGCAGCCCAGCCAATACAATGGTATATAAGAAACATTTTAATAAATATTTTGTAACTTAATTTTTACAATATCCTGTTACACATAATTATTTTTTTAATATATATTTTATTGATTTTTTTACAGCGAGGAAGGGAGAGGGATAGAGAGTTAGAAACATCGATGAGAGAGAAGCATCGATCAGCTGCCGCCTACACACCCCCTACTGGGGATGTGCCTGCAACCAAGGTACATGCCCTTGACTGGAATCAAACCTGGGACCCTTCAGTCCCCAGGCCGACGCTCTATCCAGTGAGCCAAACCGGCTAGGGCATACACATAATTATTAATAACGAACTACAATGTTCGCTAATAACTGATTACTATAACTGTGTTGCATTCATTTCCCTTATGTGCCTTACGCACAGGCTAGAATACCCTGCCTCCCATCGCTAGCTGGTAAGTCACACCACCTTTAAGACACAGCTCAATTCCCCCACCTTCCCAGAGCTCTTCCTTGCTCTGGTCTCCCATAGCACTGCCTGCTACCTCCACTGTATAACAAACGCACCTGGATGTAGTTGTCCCTGCCCATGTCTGTCAGCCCTGCCAGACTGTCACTGCCCTTTGTCGATTCCTTCCTGTGCTCTAGGAACTGTGCATGAGCTCCCCAGCAGCATCTTAAGTTACTTCCCAGAGCAGCCCTATGAGATGGGGCAGGAATCGGGGCTCTGAAGGGGGCTTGGGTCTTAACTGCCCAGAGTTACCCACAGAGGAAGGTAGTTGGGCCAAGCCTCAGACCCAAACTAAAGACTCAGGTTTCATTCTTACCTGAAATGTGTCCATGTGTGTATTGATGGGGGTCTGGAAAGAACACACCAGACAGCCACGGGTTCACCTGGAGGTAGGGTGCCGGGGAAGGCTGTCATTTTTTATTGTCAGTACTTCTCCAGGACACGTATTTTTTAAATATATTTTATTGATTTTTTACAGAGAGGAAGGGAGAGGGATGGAGAGCTAGAAATATCAATGAGAGAGAAACATCGATCAGCTGCCTCCTGCGCACCCCTACTGGGGATGTGCCCGCATCCAAGGTACATGCCCTTGGCCGGAATCAAACCTGGGACCATTCAGTCCGCAGGCCAACGCTCTATCCACTGAGCCAAACCGGTCAGGGCAAGGACATGTATTTTTATTCCAAGTACCTATTCACTGGGAACTTTTAAAATTAAGAAAGATGACATCACTAAAAGTGGCACACAGGCACTTCGGGCTGTCATGCACCACCTGTGAGGGCTCTTCCTCCCCAAAGTTGTACCTAATCTAATCAGCTGCTGCTCTACTGACTAGTTTTCAGGAAATGCATCAGGCAGAGGTGCAGTTAAATGACACCAAGAGGAAGCACCATATCCAGATGTTGCACCCTAAATCGGGAGCATAGAATAAAAAGAGCAGAGCGGTACAGGTATAGATTAAAGACCTTCTGAAGAATGTCACTCTAATACAGGGCATAGGCCTCCGTGGTTTTTGCTTCAAACAAGCCAACTACAAAAACATACCATTGAACCCTGGTGTGGCTCAGTTGGATGAGCATCGTCCCATGCACCTAAAGGTCGCTGGTTTGATTCCAGATCAGGGCACATGCACAGGTTGTAGACTATCTCTAGTGAGGGGGAGGGGACATGCAGGAGGCAGCCAATCAGTGATTCTCTCTCATCATTGATGCTTCTATCTCCCTCTCCCTTCCTCTCTGGAATATATATATATTTTTTAAATTGAATCAATAACAAAAAGATAAGCTACTATTTTAATTATAAGCAAATCCTTGTTAAAAGCATCTTAAAATCGACAGGGTGTTAATTTTCATGACGTATGACATACCAGAAATGTTGTCCATTAAATCCAAAGTCCATTAATTAAATCAAGAGTTGACTGTACAGACTTTGAATATGATGTATGTATGCAGTGAGTAAGGGGTTCTATTAATACTGAAGTATTCACAGGAGAAATCAGATATCACCTGCGATTCACTTTGAAATATTTTAGCCCCCACAAAAATAAAGAAAGAAAAGTGGGGAAAGAGGTTTAGTGAACAAAACAGACATGTTAATAGGATGGGGATTGAAGCTGGGTGATGGATATGTGGTGGTCTGTTGCATGCATGTCTCTACTTGGGTGTATGTTTGAAAGTTTTCCATAATAAAACTTAAAATCTTTAACAAAAAATAATTGAAAGTCAGAAATAAATGGATTTTAGGATTAGGCAGACCTGATTGGGTTTAAGTCCTGCCTGTGTCCCTTCTCCAAGACTCCCTACAAAATATGGGGATGCCTAGTCTCTGGTCTGAAGGTTCTCACAAGACGATTCTTGTCAAAGACCTGGCACATTGAGGGTGGGGGATGCATTGAGTGAGCCCTTGGGCTCCTCCCTGACCCCAGCCCCAGAGTCACTGACAGTGTGTTGTGTTTCAGTAACTTGCAACCCTCAAGGACGTGGCCATGGACTTCACTTTGGAGGGCTGGGAGCAGCTGGGGCTGGACCAGGGGGACCTGTTCTGGGACACGGCACTGGACAACTACCAGAATCTCTTCTTGCTGAGTGAGTATGCACCCTGGCCCTGCTTGGTGATCACCCGTGGCTCCCCATCACCCACAGGATGAACTCCCAGCTCTTGAACACCTCAGAACCAGCGTGCTCCAGCTCAGCAGTGCTCAGCTGGCTGATTCTCTCCCCCCCACCCCCACCCCCCCAGGGGACATTGGCAATGCCTGGCCACCTCTTTGATCGTCACCACTTAGGGGGAGTGGGAGTGCTTCTTGCATCTAGTGGGTAGAGCCCAGAGAAGCTGCCAGACATCCTAGGATGCAAGGACAACCCCCACAACCAAGGATTACCTGACCCCAAATGTCAGTAGTGGCAAGGTTGACAAGCCCTGATCCAACCCCTGCCTACTGTTGCAGCAGCTTTTTCCTCTTTGTCATTCTGGAGTGATTCCTCGTGCTGACTCTGTAGGGTCTTCACCTCTGCTCTCCCCTCTGCCTGGCGGACTCTTGTCCCTTCCTTGACTTGGGGCTTCCCTAAGACTGAAATTGTGACTCCACTAGCCTCCCTCTCTCCTGCTTAGCAATCACTGCTCCTTCATGTTCTGACTGCTCCTATTATGATCTGTCTCCTGCCAGATGGGAGCTTCCTTGGGGCACCTGTGCTGTTCACTGGTGTACCCCAACATTTGTAACAAACAGTACCTGCTGTGGGGACTCAGTAAACAATTCCTAAATTAATAAATGAATGGTGGGAAATGCTGTCAGGAGCCAGGTTCTGTGCTGGGTGAGCTCTTAGAACTTTCTCCTTCTACCCTCCTGTCGCCCCATGAGAAGTTTGTCCGTATTTTGCTGAGCATCTTAAACAGCTTCAAAGAGGGGAAGTCATTTTGCAGCTCTGTTCAGGTTCCTAGGATCACCCCCCACTTTGGTGGTTTACTAAGAGGACGTGTAGGACTTGGCCTATAGCTGTGCTCATCCCATGATCCATCACAGTGAAAGGACACACAGTACAGTTAGCTAAGCGGAAAGGTGCGTGGTGTGCATCCACGGGAGACTAGCGCCAACATCCAGAGCCCTGTGCCCGTGGAGTTGCACAGGACATGCTTAATTCCCCCAGCAACGAGGTGTAACAGCGACTCCGCACCGAGGGTTTTTATTCAGGGCTTGTTATGTAGACACACTCTGCTTGCAATGTACCAACAGCCCAGATACTTGGCAGGAAAGCAGGTGTTCAGCAGAGCAGTTTGTGCACAGGGAGCCCCTCTGCCTGGTTAGAGAATGCCGGACCCTCCCGAAATCCAGGTTCCCAGACACCAGCCAAGGGCAGCCTTGTGAGCAGGCCATTCCAGCGGGCTGGCTCTGTGAGCCCTTTTCACCTGGGCTCTGACCACCAGCAGTGCACAGAAAGCAAATGGCATGGCTGAGAGTCCGGTTGGGACCTGTGCAGCTCCAGGGCCAGGGCACCCCAGCTCCCTATCATCCGGATCAACTCATTTCCCCTTTCCTAGTTTCTCAGTTCTTTCTTTTCCAAAAACAGAAGAAGAATTTATTCCAAAAGACGAAGAAAAGAAAAAACTATATACTGGAACTACCATATATTTGATGTAGTTTTATCACATTGAGACAGGTTTCCTCCAAACTGTACTCAGTGTGTGCCACAGAAGCAGCTTAGAAAGGTCTGATCTCAGTGTCTTCAGTTTTTAAACTCCAGCCCGCAGTAGAAATGTATGTCCTTTGTTTCCCCTGCACATCTGTGGTTTCCTATGGCTGCTTCTACAAATGCCACAAATGTAGTGGCTTAAAACAGTACATTTATTCTTACAGGTCTCCAGATCTGAAGTTCAAAATAAGTCTGAGTGAGCTAAAATCGAGGTGTTGGCAAGGCTGGCTTCAGGGGAGAATCTGTTTCCTTGCCTCTTTTCAGCTTCTAGCGGCCTCCTGCATTGCTTGGCTCATGGCCCCTTTCTTCACCTTCAAAGCCACCAGTGGCCTTTCCTCCACTGTAGCACATATGCCTGGATTATAACTGCTCCCTTCCTTGCAGAAGTTTGGGGAGGGCAGTGTACAGGGCTGCTGGAGCCCTAGAACCCGAACATTATCTATCACAGGGCTTACCCCACAGAGGCCTGGGGCAATGTGTGGTCCACAGGTGAACGAGTGAATTATAAATCGTTGAGTAAGTATGGGCCTGTCCACCTGGCAAGCTCAACTCATCTCTTGAGCTGTTCCACGTCCTGTGTCCGTAGCCCCAGCTGTCATAGCTCTGATCACCACGGATTGTGACTGTGTGAGTCCTTCTCTCCCACTGGAGCAGGAACCCTGCAGGGCAGGCACCTCAGAGTCGCCCAGTGCAGCATCTGGCCCCCAGGGCTGTGTGCTAGATAAAGCATGGAATCGTCAGGAGAGCCAGAAGGTTGCTGCTGAGCGGCTGGGTGGCCCTCCGCATCTTGGTTGACGGCAATGCTGTTCTCTCTCCTTGCAGACCCCCTGAGACCCAATCAGACTGCCTGTCCAGATGGTGGGGAAGAGCTGGAGATCCTGGAAAGAGGAAGTCCAGAAGTGACAGGCCCTGGTGAGTGGGTGGGGAGGGGCCACTGGCACCTGGTGTGAGGATGGTGGGGTCCTGTGGCATGGCCCTCTGTCCTCAGATGGAGTATGTCTACCTAACCATCGGGACCCTCAGCTTCTGGGCTTCAATTTTCCACATGCTGGCTTCTGTCTCCCTGTCCCACCCAGGATCAGGACACTTTGCATGCCCTCCTTGTCTCTGTTTAACCTCAGCATTCAGCACATGGCTGTCCTGGTGCCTTTTCTCTGTTCCCTCCTTGGTTCTTCCAGACTCAGCAGGGGGTGGACTTCTGTTCCCCAAGTTGGTCTCCATTTTCCTGCCTCATGCCCCCTAAGTATTGTGGACACCCTGGTCTACCTGTTTTGACCTCTTTGTACAGGCTCAGCCCTCTTTCCTGGCCCACAGAGAACAGCAGATGGCCACAACTCAAGCCTAGGCATTTACTCTGCCCTCTCCCAGGCCACAGTTCTCCCAGGAGGATCAGGTTAAGCAGTGAAGATTCCCTAGTGTGATGCTGGTCAAGACATCCCCCGTGGGAGAAAGAAGAGGCGGGGGGCTTGCCTGGGCATGAGAGGCTTTTCTCGTGGTTCGCCCTGATCCAGAAACCATGGAGAAGTGTCTGCACAGCTTGTCAGCGTGCAGCTCCATTCTTGGCTCACCTCAGAGCTCGTGAGTGTCTTCACAAGGGGACTAACCCAGGCACAGATTCCTGCTCTCTCGGATTTCTGTTTCTGCCACCTCAACACAAGGCTGTTTCCAAGCATGTGGAGCCACACCGTTATTAACGTGTAAATACAGCCTCCATGGAAACAGTCATATGGCATTGTTACCATGTAGATCTTGTCCCTTGATCAGTGTACTTCTCTAGGAAGTAGGCCCCAGCTGATGAGGGTGATGGTGGAGAGTATCTGCTGAGAGGCCTCTCTCCTTCCCTATGGAGGCCCTGCAGCCCAGCTCCCTTCTTAACTGTCTTGTATATGGGTTTCCTTTTCCTGTGATGCAGGTTACAGCTGGATCACTCTGCTAGCCTCTTCTCCTTCATCCCTTGATGGACACAGACTTGACTCGGGATCCATCCCCTGTTTTCTCTCTTATCTGTATCCTCACCCTGCAGCTCCTGTCTTTTCACCCTAGGGAACAGGAGACATTTACACTCTCTCTCTTTCAGACACAGCTGAGGCCAAGATTTCCCCTTTGCCACAGGAATTCTCGGAAGGACTCTCTCAGGAGATATTGGAGACGTTTTCCAAGGATGGCCTCTGGAACTCTAACTTTGGAGAAGGCTACATGGGCGAGAGCTGGTTAGATAGTTTGCTAGGAGATCCAGAAAGTCTTATGAGCTCTGACATTGTCACCAACAAGGAAAGCTTCACAGAGGGCAAGAGTCATGAACTCAAGAGTGGCCTCGATCCTGAGTCCTTCCTTTTCACAGGAGAAGATTCCCTGACCCATGATCTTTCCGAGAAGAGCCTGACGCCAGCTAAGTCTCAGGAATGTAGGAATGACATTGGCTCCCACTCAGACCAGAGTCAGCAGGATACTGTCCAGGAAGGGATGAGACCATATAAATGTAGTGAATGTGAGAAGAGCTTCAGCCGGAGTTGCCATCTTATCCAGCACTGGATTACTCATATAGCGGAGAAACCAACTGGGAATCAAGAGTATGAGGATAGTTTCAACCAGATTTCTTGCCTTCCTGTCTATCCAACAACTCACACAGGTCCCAAATCCTATGTGTGTAACAAATGTGGGAAAACTTTTAGTCACAACACTCACCTTCTGTGGCATCAAAAAATTCACACTGGAGAAAAAACACATAAGAGTCAAGACAGTGACCATTCATCAGGCCTTGTCTCGAAGCCTGTTGAAAAGCAGAAAACCCACAGAATTCGTAAATTCTACAAGTGTAATGAGTGTGGCAAGGGTTTCAGCCGAAACTATCATCTTATTCAGCATCAGAAGACCCACACTCGGAAACGCTATGAATGTGTCAAATGCAAGGCCACCTTCAACTTTAACAAATACCTCCTCCAACATCAGAAAATTCATGTTTCAAAAACTACCTCTAAGTGTCAGGAATGTGGGAAGACCTTCAGGCATAGCTCATCCCTCATTAAACACCAGTCTATTCACTCAGGAGAAAAGCCTTATAAGTGTGATGAGTGTGGGAAATGCTTCAGCCATACCTTCACCCTAAAGAGCCACCAGAGGGTTCACAGTGGAGAGAAGCCTTACAAATGTAGTCAATGTGAGAAAGCCTTCTACCGGAACACTCATCTGAATGAACATCAGAGGATTCACACGGGCTACAGGCCCCACAAATGTAACAAATGTGTCAAAAGTTTCAGCCGGCCTTCCCACCTGATTCGACACCAGTCTGTTCATGCCACAGAAAAGCCCTACAGCTGTGCTGAATGCAGTGCGACCTTCAGCCATAATGAACGTCTTATCCAACACCAAAAAATGCATGCTGTGGAAACCCGCTATGAATGTCAGGAGTGTGGTGAGCGCTTCATTTGCAGTTCGACCCTAACTTGCCACCAGAGCATTCACACCCAAGAAAAACAAGGACTTGATGGGAGCAGAAAGATTTTGAATCAGAACCTAGAACAGAAAGATCATCCGAGGAGTGGTGAGAAGCACTTTAAATGTAACACATGCGAGAAAACGTTCAGCTGCAGCAAATACCTGACTCAGCATGAGAAACTTCACACCAGGGAGAAGCCCTTTGAGTGTAAACAGTGTGGGAAGGCCTTTGTCCAAAGTGCACAGCTCATTCGCCACGAGATCATACACTCTGGAGTGAGGCCATATAAATGTGAGGAGTGTGGGAAGGCCTTCATCCGAATCACCTCCCTTACCAAACATCAGTACATCCACAAGAGTGAGCACCCCTTTAAGTGTAATGAATGTGGAAAGACCTTCAGCCAAAGTGTACATCTCTCAGAACATCAGTTGACTCACACTGCAGAGAAACCCTTTAAATGTAATCAGTGTGACAGAGTCTTTGTGCACAGTAAGTACCTTACTCAGCACCAGAAAAGTCATGCCAGGAAGAGATCTTTTGAATGTAATGAATGTGGGAAAACATTTAGACACAGCTGGCGCCTTTCTAAGCATCAGAGAGTTCACACGGGTGAGAATCCATATAAATGTGGTGAATGTGGAAAAGCCTTCAGCCTGAAAGCTGTACTTGTTCGACACCAGAGAGTTCACACCAGAGAAAAGCCTTATGTTTGTCAGGTATGTGGGAAAGCCTTCAGCCAGAACTCGTGCCTTTCTATTCACCAGAGAGTTCACACTGGAGAGAAGCCCTATCTGTGTGCTGAATGTGGGAAAGCCTTTTCCCAGAAAGCAAATCTGAGGCAGCACGAGAAAATTCACACTGGGGAGAAGCCTTACATCTGTGATGTATGTGGGAAAACCTTTAGCCTCAGTTCCCATCTCAGTCAGCACCAGGTAATTCACACTCAAGAAAAACAATATCAGTGTCAACACTGTCAAAAAGCCTTTGGCTGCTACTTAGGTCTCCGCCGACACCAGCAAGTTCACACTCAAAAGTAACAAGTAGCAATACTACCTGTGGTCGCCAGGTGACAGCAAGACCTGACATCTGAGCCCTAAAATTGAAACCATCACATTGTAAGTCTATCCTTTCCCTACCCCTACACCCAAAATATATATAGATCTCTATATTAATAAAGATTGATTAGAAAGTTTGCACACAACTTTCATTAAAAGAATGAAAACACAAAAGAAGCTGTGTAGTATCCAAATTCAGAGGTAGACTCTGTAGCCAGTCTCCTGAGTTAAATTTCACCTCTGCCATCTGCTGCCTAAGTGACCTAGAGAGAGTCACAAAACTTCTCAGGGCCTCAGTATCCTCATCTGTAAAACAAGTAAAATAATAGTTACCTACCTCAGAGAGATGTTGTGAGGATAAATTGTTGTAAAGCACTTAGAACTGAGTGCCCAGCACATAATAGTACTCACCAAGCATGAGGTATACATATACATCATATACAACATAAACGTACTCATGTTACGAGGAAGAGAATAATTAGAAGCTCTCTATCTCTATTTACTGCAGTTAATGTTCTTACTAATTTGGGTGGCTTTAATTTTTGAAGTTTTTCTTCAAAATGCCCCTGGCTTAATTTGGTTCTCCAATCCCAACACATTAATCTTTAAAAAAAAATCTAACCTTTTCCTTCCCTCCATCTTTTTTCTGTCCCAGTATTTTCTTAATGAGCCCCCAGAAAGTCAAGAAGAGCACTTAATATCAAATAGCTAAAACTTTTCACTCATAACCTCCCATACCTCTCATTCAAAAGGACCCTTTCCACATACACATGCCATCTTATTTTTTCTAATCCTCACTCAAGGACATGTTTTTATTGATTTTTAGAGAGAAGGGGAGAGAGCGGGGGGCATCAATTGGCTGCCTCCTGCGCGTGCCCTGGTCAGGGATCAAACCTACAACCTAGGTATGTGCCCTGACTGGGAATCGAACCCACAACCTTTTGGTGTATGGGACGACACTCCAACCAATTGAGCCACTCAGCCAGGACCACATGCCACCTTTTCCCATAATCTTCCCGTGTTTAAAGTTATTGGTTATACAATGGACCCATTTTTTGTTATTGGAGTTAATGATACTGGAACAGCTGGATTCAGTTAGGAAAGCTGCACTGGATATTGTCACAGTTAACACTATACAGAGGATGTGCTTGGTGGTGAAAATTGTGATGGACTGCTAGAATGTTCTTCATGCACCATTTGTCCAAGCTGGCTAGTCACCAGGCACTTTTCCAGGCGCCAGGACAGGGAATGTCAGTATGGTAAGCCCTGCCCTTGCCTCGAAGCTTCTGGAATCCAAGAGAAATTGGTGGTCCCATTTTCACAGAGTGCTGTTTGTTGACAAGTGACATCTTAAAATGCCACATTCCCTCATGTCACAGCAAGTCCTGGGCCGCTGAGGATTGTTAGAGAGCCCAGTAAAGAAAGGAGCTTTCCTGTTGGAGCCATCACGTCAGCAGCTCACCTTGGCCAGGCCTGTGCTACAACAGAGACTCACCTCATGGAACCACACAACCTGCTCCCCATAGATGGCATCTCCTCTCTGGGCTTCTGAACCCTCCCCACTAAGTGAACAAGTCACATCTTTGCTGCAGCACAAACAATCTTAGGAAGACATTGGACACTTAATATCTTTCATATTCTTGGTGCTAAAAAAGTGTAAGAGTATGTTTCCTGTGGCTCTTGGACTTTTTAAACCTTGCACCTTTGAGTTCTGCTGGTTGGTTTTGTTCTTGAAACTGGGAACTTAATGGTTAATCATTAGGCTGACTGCACAGTGGGGAGCATACTGGTTTTCTAATGGCCAAAATGTCCCACTCCCTGTGCGTGGTCCCTGCCCTTGAAACTGTCTAGTCTGGGTGACAGGCTGGTGGGGTACACAAAGTGTGGCGGGATGGGGCAGAGGTGGGAACTCAAAATGAGTTGAAGTGTATTCAATGAAGAGTTTTAATACTAAACACGCAGGTCAGAGACCCTGTGGAAAATCACCAGCTGGGGCGGGGGGAGGGGCAGTTTTCATAACTAATGACCTGAGTTGCTTTGAGCCAGGGTAGAAGTGCCCTCCTTGTGTGTATGTTGGTTCTCTCATTAAAGTTTTGAGTCTGAAAGTGTTGGTTCCTTCTCTCAGCCTGGTGCCACACGCCTGGCTAGATTCTGGGCATACAGTGTCCCTACCTACCAGTTTTCATGTTCTAGTGGGGGAGAGCTTGCAGCGGTGAAAACCACCCCTTAAGAGGGCAGTTAAGTCTGTTTTTCCTAAAGACAGAGGGAACCACACACTTTCAGCCAGCTCAGATACATCAACAAACAACACTTCCATTCTAGTGCAATCCTAACTAATCAAGGAGAAAGCATGGTATTTTCTCTACAAAGACACAGCAGGTGGCGAAACCGGTTTGGCTCAGTGGATAGAGCGTCGGCCTGCGGACTCAAGGGTCCCGGGTTCGATTCCGGTCAAGGGCATGTACCTGGGTTGCGGGCACATCCCCAGTGGGAGATGTGCAGGAGGCAGCTGATGTTTCTCTCTCATCAATGTTTCTAACTCTCTCTCTCCCTTCCTCTCTGTAAAAAATCAATAAAATATATTTTAAAAAAAAGACACAGCAGGCCTCAGGCTCAGGCAATAATTTTAACTAGAATTTAATATTTTGTTGGTATTTAATTCTTGCCACTTTTTCTCCTTTACTGACGAGATACTAACTAGCTTCCTGCTCATGGTAGTGACAAAGTCGTCTTTATTTTTATTTTTTTTAATACATTTTTATTGATTTCAGAGAGGACGAGATAGGGAGAGAAAGATAGAAACATAAGTGGTGAGAGAGCATCGTTGATTGACTGCCTCCTGCACACACCACACTGGGGATCGAGCCCCCATATGCCCTGACCAGGAATCGAACTGACCTGGTTCATAGGCCAACACTCAACCACTGAGCCATGCCAGCCAGGCGAAAGTCCTCTTTAGAAATAAGTTGGTTTGGGGGGGGAGGGGAGAGGGGAAGTAAACTGAATTAAAGGGAATATATGTGGTACACATGTACGGCAAAAATTGAGAGTGAAATATAATTGCATGAGGCTTGGGGAACACTGAGTTAACTAAGCCTAGCACTGTGAAGCCAATAGACTTATTAGCTGAGTTAGATTATGCTGTGGCAATACAGTTAAGTGTCAAATCTCAGTAGTTGAACAGAACAAAGGTTTATTTTGCTCACATTACATGTCCACTGTGGATTGCCAGGAGCTGGGGACAGGGACTGGCTGGCTGGCTTTGTCCTATACACTCAAGAGACCAGGGTACAGCCCCTTTAGTTGGAACGTGTGGAAAATAAGTTGGTTTGGGGGGGAGGGGGAAGTAAACTGAATTAAAGGGAATATATGTGGTACACATGTACAGCAAAAATTGAGAGTGAAATATAATTGCATGAGGCTTGGGGAACACTGAGTTAACTAAGCCTAGCACTGTGAAGCCAATAGACTTATTAGCTGAGTTAGATTATGCTGTGGCAATACAGTTAAGTGTCAAATCTCAGTAGTTGAACAGAACAGAGGTTTATTTTGCTCACATGTCCACTGTGGATTGCCAGGAGCTGGGGACAGGGACAGGGTGGCTGGCTGGCTTTGTCCTATACACTCGAGAGACCAGGGTACAGCCCCTTTAGTTGGAACGTGTGGCCTTGGTTACCACAGCAGGAAAAGGAGAGGGCTGGAAGCTCCAAGAGTTTATCACTGCCTTGGCCTGAAAGTGCTACAGGTCATTTCCATTCATGTCCCTTTGGTCACAGCCCAACTGCAAAAGGGCCGGGAAATGCCGTCAGAGAACCGGGTGTTGGTATCAGTAATGTCCAGCACCATAAGCACTTTCTTGAAGACTTTCTGATGATATTAGGAAGGGCTCATGATATAGTAAGTGATAAAAGCAAATCAGCCTTTAGAAGATTTCCAAATAAAAATAATTCTGTGATTACAGGGGAAAAGGGTGAAGGAAATTCACCAAAATCTGAAAATGAGAAACAGTTTCTGAGTTAAATAAGTTTCTTCCTCATACTTTGCAGTATTTCCCAGACTTTCCATATTGCCAGGTACCATTAAAAATTTTTCTTCTAATCCTCATTCAATATTTTTCCATTGATTTTTTTTTTTTTTTTTAGAGAGTGGAAGAAAGAGTGAAAGACAGAGAGAAATATCAATGTGAGAGAAACACATCGATTGGTTGCCTCCTGCACACTTCCTGACCAGGGCCCCGGGCTGGGGAGGATCCTGCAACCGAGGTACGTGCCCTTGACCGGAATTCGATCGGTTGCCTCCTGCACACTCCCTGATCAGGGCCCCGGCCAAGAGGAACCTGCAACCAAGGTGCGTGCCTTTGACCGAAATCAAACCTGGGACTCTTCGGTCCGCAGGCTGACGCTCTATCCACTGAGCCAAACTGGCTAGGGCTCACCAGGTACCATTTTTTTTAAATATATTTTTTATTGATTTTTTACAGAGAGGAATGGAGAGGAATAGAGAGTTAGAAACATCAATGAGAGAGAAACATCGACCAGCTGCCTCCTGCACACTCCCTACTGGGGATGTGCCCGCAACCAAGGTACATGCCCTTGACTGGAATCGAACCTGGGACCCTTGAGTCCGCAGGCTGACGCTCTATCCACTGAGCCAAACCGGTTAGGGCACCGGGTACCATTTTTAATTACAGAAGTAATTCATGGTTACATTCTTTTAAATAGATTCCAGCAATATAAAAATATTCAGAGCAACACAAAAGTCCCTCTTACTATCTGCAGCAGCACCTGAAGGTAACTCCTTGCACCTAGTAGTTTAAGTATTGGGTTGCTATAGAAGAATTGTAACTAATACGTTTCTAAAGCCTTTGGAAAACACCAGTTCCAGCCTGGGGTTTTTTGGATTACTGTGCCCTAGAATAATGGTTTTCAAGTTTTCTGCTCACAGCTCTTTTATTAGTGTGTTCTAAACTGGGAAACACCAATATTT